GCATGCGACGAGTTTTTAGGGTTTGGGTGACTAGGGACGAGGGTGGGGACGAGGCAACTCAGCAATTCCTGAAAGCATCGTGTCGCAAACAGCCTTACTGATCAGCGTGAAACCGTGATTTTGGACAAAACATTTGTCCCAACATTGAACAGATTCAATCCTTTTAGCCTCCATTTACTCTGCAAGTGCCCTACAAATGTCAGTTGTCAGACGAATGAGAATTGTATGATCATACTGGTCTTGTCAAATTAGTATAGTTGGAGAAAAATGTGAACTTTTAATTTACCTATCCCAGGGACATTCGATAACCCAGTTGATACCTGTCAAATTAAATGACTGTACATGTAAAGCAACCTTTGAAAGTACGCTTCACCAGTGCACATGAATGACAAAAGTACGCTGTACATAGCCCCGACAAAGAATTGTTTGACTGCAGTACTTTGTTCAAGATTCATNTCAAGATTCATTCGCTTTTATATGCTAGTCCGTTTTTATTCCCCCCCTCCCCACACACACACACAAAACCAACGCTTTTACGATACACACACAGTCTACTTATCATATACGATATATGTTCACACAAATCCGAAACTCCACCCAAACCTGCGGTGATCTGAAGAAAGATTAATCGCAATTGTTTATTGATTTTTCATTTAATTTTTGGCGCTCACCCGTATAAATGGTTGCTGGGCATTGACGTCATTCACAAAATATTGTAGGTGTTTTTTTTTCTGCCGCTTTATCGTTATCTATTCCGATGGGTTTGCACAATTGTTTCACCAGTGTACACGACACGTCTGAAATCGAGCTCGAGGGTCGTAAAAGAAATTGAGTTACTCTACTCTCCCAGCAAACAATGAAAGTGTGCAATGCTACCTGCATATTATGAGATGAGATGTTTGGATAAACGGATTGCATCATTTCGAGCTCTCCCAGATATTTTCGCAAATTGTCTACCAATTCATCCCTTTTCAGATATGTTTGATATCACCGCTTTCTTGTGATTAGAGCACTTTTTTAAATAACGATCACGAAAAACCAAGGCTAATACTTTTAGTCAGGTTGATGAGCTCTGACCGAATAATTCAATTTAGGGATTCGGAAAACCGTGGTTCCAAGATGACCTCTCTTGGATGCCGTTATTGTTATTGATTCATTCAAGCCTCATTGGAAACAGTGTATAACAGAAATATCTCGTTTGTTTCTTAAAACCCAAAACAACGACGAAACACATCGAAAAAGAAAGTAAGGAAATCAAACAGCGAAGTAGTTTGTTCACTTACCACATGTCCGTTGAATAACTGATAGGATCGTAGTTAATAACTTCCGGAGCTATCGGTGTTGCCAGGGAATAGGGATAAAAGGAGGTACAATACAAAAGGATTAGAATTGTGGTTTTTGTAATGCGGAAAATCTAAGATCAGAACAGGAATTGAGCAAAGTTTCTTAGAAGTCGTGAAATTGAAGCGAAGTAACGGGTATAATGATATGTGTATGCTGAAGGAAATAAAATGTTTCTTTTACTGATAGACCGTAATTGCTCCATTTGTAGTCAGTGATTAGGTGTGTCATCCGATCCCGCTGTGGGTCAAATGAGCTTTCGGAGACTTAGCAATAAGAAAACATCAATTATTTGTCTCCTTTAAATAAATCTCCGATAGCCCAATCGGTAGAATACCATCCAAACAACTTGTTGTCCACCGGATTGGAAAACAGATTCAGTAAACGAAATAACTTTTCGTTTGGTTCCTCAGTGATTTTCCTTCCAATGGTGATGAACACATATAGTTCACTGTTCGTAAAATTTACAGTGAACAGTGAAACTAATGAAGTAGCACGTGGGCCGACTGAGGGGATAAAGCAAAACTTACAAGCTGAGCAGTAGACCCAACTGAAATTGGTTCACCAAATGTTTTGAACACCGTATTAACTAAAAATAATTTACTTTACTAAAAGATGCTATCAAGCCTCATTGGTTTTAGGTCTGGCCGTTTCGCGGACTGCACCTTCACACAGAATGGTCAGTCTACCTAGTCAACCATCCGTGTTTGAACCCCCAATTCTTCTCATGAAATTCATGAAGGATGTTACCTTCCATTCAAGCAAGACAAGGATTATCGGTTCAGTTTGGTTCCAAATTCGTCTTTACTGATAATCTGTTGCTTCCAGATCAAACAGCAACACAGGGAGAGAGTGGACATCATCCTGCATACTGCTGGACTACCCATTAGATGCCGTTAAAACAATGTAATGTGGACAGGCTAAACAACATGGAGTAACGGTGGATAAATCACTTATTAATTCAAATCCTCGAGTGCATGATTCTGGAATTTGTCAGATCGGTGACTGAAACAATCATCCGTCTGTTATGCTCAAAGAATGAACCATTTATTGAATAATTGATTCGAAAACAAGATGGTCACATTAAGTTTCACACCTGCTGCTTTTACGGAGAACTGAAAAGCGGTAGTGTAAAATAACAGATTTGGGCCCCTGGAATATAACTAATAAATATGATTGTGATTTCATAGAAAACATTGAGACATATTTATCTGCTCATTTTAATTATTAACTGAGAACCGGTCCTCCTAGGTGAGATTGCAAAAGTAAAGAGTATGCAGCAAATAGACACAGACGGATAAAAATATTGCTTAAGCTCAGTCGCTGTGGATGAGGAAATTAATTTGGTGGTCTGAAAACTGTGGTCAACTGTCTGCCAAACTATAACAGAAAGAAAGCTAATCTGCAGTGGTCAGATTCACATGTAATTGAGTGAACAAACACTTGCACGCGAACACACGTTTGGCGCAGGCTTCGTCTCGGAGAAAACCGTTCCTTTGGTTCCTATCTTGTTCATGTGCAATAGGTTTTGGGGTACGCCTGTACACGTATCTTTCTGTCTGCACGTTCATGGTCTGATAGACATTCTCCGAGCCACATCTCTCAACTAGTTCCAAATGGGTTGTGTATAACGGCATGAATAGCACGAACAGCAAGCAACCGCAAGCGGCAACATGAGGAGCATCGTGACTCAGTGCCTACCAGACGCACACCGGAAAATGCGTCCAGTTTGACAGACCACGAGCACACAGGCCGACATACATTCATTTACACACCCACGCGTGACTCGCTTGACAGAAGGAATGTTTTGCCCTCTTGCGCTCCCTCGTTTACATGTTCAGCCATCCATGGGTTCACTTCCTAACAGATCCCAGAAGCACCTCCCACCCTCTGCACCTCTAAATCGTCCACCGGTCAGTTTCTCCCCCTTTCAATCCGGAAAATGCGTGGGTGTGTGCGCGATGTAATCGCCGAAACTGATGTAGTGAGTGTTCTATCTGAATTCCCACTGATTTTGTTGTGCACAGTCTCTGAACGTTTTTTCATGGATTCGGCACAATAGTCAGTAGAAAGATCCATGGCCTGATGTATGCAGATGGACTGGGAAGTGGTATCCAGTTTCGGAGCTGCCTACCAGCTCCAAATGCATACACCACGTTTAGGACACTTCGCAAGTATGATACATCCAACTATGCAGCCCGACTGTCACAAAATGAAGTCAAAATGGCACTCGCGATTTCGAACACGCACATACCCACCCGTATTCAGAGGCAAACACCATTCCACCATTAGCGTCATCAGTTCACCCATCCAACCGGAAGACTGATGCACTCGGATGAGTGTGGAGAAAGAGCCTGTTGAGAAGACCAGCAAAAATTCCATTGTGCATAGGGGGTCGCACGTTGAGAGGTGCTGTAGTGATTGAACCCGTTCGAAGGGTGGATTTATGCGCACGTGCAACGGCCTAGTTGACCGTACAATGAGGAAAACTATGTGCGGCCAAGTACAGTCAAAAGCCAGAAATCGGACAGGTTCCTCGAACTAAAATATGACGCCCCACATACCAGCGCTATGTACGCATTTCGAAACCAGGGTGTGCAAACATGGTTTTCTCCTCATCTATGCAGCCATACAAATAACACCCAGACTGGTTGCGGAAAATTGTAAAACGGGAAATCAATGCCTTTGAACTGGATCACTACAGGTTCCCAGTAGGACTATAATCCATCATCAGGTTAACCATCACTTTTACACCACTCTATCACTGGTCTATTCTTCAGGAACTGGGCAAATATATTTCTCCTAGATGCAGCGAGCATAAGTCTAAACCGAAAAGCAAATCACTCACGTCTGTAAATCCAGTGACCATCATCAAATAGTCCGTGTGTGAATCCATGATCAGATTGTAAGCACTGTGCAACATAACTGCTATTTATTTGCTTGTTTCCTCAAGATATGATAGAGATGGCTTCTATAATATATATATAATATATATATTATATATATATATAAACGTTTAGTAAATGAATAAATAAACTGTAAGCTCATAAAATCGAACCTCTAACAGCATTTGTAGTTAACCCCATTTTGCGTTTAGTATCCCTAGTGACTACAAATAGATACATAAACATGATGTAGTTAATGCCTGAAATCTTCAATATCAGGAAAATCTTTAGAAACATCGCTTCTTTTGGTTTGTGAAGAATTCTGCACATTTTTAAAGTTATATAAACGAATTACAAACGAACCAATGAATTTTTTCTAATCTCTAATCGATGCGTGAGAACACGCAACAAAAGCATTTGATGCTAGGAACTATTTTCAAGTCTAAGGATTTTCTCCATAAAAACACCATGCTTCAAATTAATTTCAATAGGTTTAGTTGATATCGACAGCTGGAACTACCGTGTTAACTACTGCTTACCTTTCCGGTAGTGAAACATCTATTGCATATTGTACTCATATGAATTTGTGCTTATTATCGCTCAAAATGAGGTGTGTTTATATTCGAGCTTGCAACTACTCATAATGTCGCAGTATCAGTAATATCAATAGTGATGGTTCTGTGTGAAAGGCGAAGCTAACATACGTATGACATCATAAAATACCTGAAAGTTATCAGTGATAAACGGGGCTCCTGAGATGGAAATAAAGTCTTAAATATATTCTTTATACACACTATTGATAATTCTTTAGTATCAACTGAAGGCTTCATTCGTTCGGCGTGCTTCTCCTTTCATTACATGATGCTACTTCTCATTTCCTGTATGTGTTTTACCTATTCGAATCTGCCCAATACTTCAGAAACCATTCCCACAATATAGGCATAATTCGGTGCTATAAACAGTTTCGTGTTCAGTTGTTATCCCTTCAAATTTATCATGTAAGAATAAGGCCCCGGGACAGGAAAGGTAATAACAACTTGTAAAACATGTTGAAAAAAGATGAAAAATTGCCACAATGGAAGATGTATACCCGTAGCAGCCTTTGGTTGTGCGTTATATATGAATAGGTTGTGTCCCGAAACTGGCGTCATTAGTGGATTATCCCCACATTGAAATAACGTCAGATTTATCAACATCGATGAATGAGTCATACAAATTGTTCTACATGTGCTTCGTTAGTAACCGGGACACATTTTTACTGTACTTATTCTGAGATCCAAAATTCTGGAAACAGACAGCATCTTCTATTTTTCCTGTTCCAGGGCAATATTTGTGAAAAGGATGATTAATGGACTACTTGCACTTGGAATGCAATAAGATTTGAATCGAATCGAGAAATATGAGCCCAAATGTGTTAGTCGGAGAATAGGTATTGGTAGGATAAGTTTATTTACTGTTCAGTNNNNCAGTTAAAACACTCTGTGCCAAGTTCCGATCAGAACGGATTTTAGTATCCCAGATAAACGAGAATATATTCTGTAACCTTTTCTCAGTTGTAAAAAACTGGATGAACACGCACTGGCTCATGAACGCCAGATCAACAACAAGATTCAAAAACCGCTCATTACAAACATTCAAAGGCTTTTATTGGTTATTTAGTGTTATCTCATTTAGCGCTAATTCAAACCATTAATTATAGATATAGTTAAGAATGTTTGCATTGTGGTGTAAAAAGCATACGAGGGCTGGGAAAAACATAGCCAAACATAGCTAATAAGTTATACAAAAACATAAAATCAAATACTTCACAGAATCCAGAATGTGTGCCAAACAAATCGTGCTACAATAATCTTTATAAAAAGAAAAGCATTCCATGATTTGCCTCCGAAAACCTCAGTATGGTCGAAGGTGGGTGTCTAGGGTTGCGGCTGGTCACCCTTTCTTGGCTTCTCCTGAAATACTCCCATAAGACCAAGCATCATTAATAGTTTGTGTTCACTACCTTCTCGTGGCGTAGGTGTTTTCCCACCAAAGGGAGAGTATCAATCTGTAGGAGGTGTACGAACCATACACACCTTCCCGGTTGTGGCAATAGTCGTCTTTATTGGATATCTAGGGGTATTGGACACCTCGGACATTTGACCCCGTCACAAGGGCGTATGATCCGATGAACTGGACACTTTCCCCCAATGGGTTGCGGTTTTCCCACACTTCCCCGCTGCCTTGAGGGTAAGGCTTTGGCTGGCCAGAGGCTCAGGTAGTGGATTCCTCAAGAAAATTGACCTGCCTTGGTTTGGGCTATCTGGCAGTATTTGACCCACATGCAAATCATGGAGCATTTTTTCACAAGTCATAAGGATCGCTATACTCAGAATCCAAGGCTGGAACTCAGTAGATGTCACTGAAGGACGATGATTTTCTACGACTACAAATGAGGTTTAATTCAGCAGAGTGTGTTGATCGTTTGTAGGTTGCCTTTGGTGATGACGCGCCTTCAAGAAGCACTGTATTTGAGTGGTTTGTGGAGTTCAAGCACAATACTGCTGTTGTGCAAGGGGTGGTGGAGAAGGATGTGCGAGTGACAGTGGCACAGCTGGCAGAAGCCATCGGGATCAATCCGCAATATCTGGCATGAGAAGCTCGGCTTTAGAAAGATTTGGCACGCTGGATACCCCCATCAGCTAAATGAGAAACTGAAAGCACTTAGGGTGAATTGTTGCCGTACTATACTTGCCAGGTTTTAAGGTTGACGTTCCAATGCAGTTTGAGAGATCATCAATATTGATGAGACCTGGGTGTACAGGTCCGACCCAGAGACCAAGCAACAATCGGCTCAGTGGACACCGGTTGGTGGGGCGCCAGCTCGGAAATTCGGACTCAAATGCAGTGGGGCAAAGTAGATGGTGGCTGTGTACATGGTCAAAATCGGGCACCTGGCTACTGTACCGCTCGTACAGCAAAGTATATTCACGGGTGACTGGTTCGCCACATAATGTCTGCCGAAACTGCTGTAAGCTGTTGCCAGGCTTCGTCCACCTGCACACACGCTCTGTCTTCCGCAATTTTCTGACTAGGGAACGCAACCAGGAGGTTGCTCACCCATCCTGCAGTCCAGACATGGCTCTAAGTGACTTTTTGTGCTCCCAAATTTCAAGCTCAAGGTGCGTAAAATCCGATACGACTCACCAACAACTGAAATGTAGACCTTCATTGAACTGGTCAAAGTGTTGCCCGTTTCGGCATGGTCGAGCTGTTCCATCAAATGGTTTGAGCGCACGGAACTATGCATGGGCGTCGGTGGAGAATATTGCGAGAAAATGTAATACTTTTCTTTTGCGTAACAAATAAAACTTTCTTGTACCCGGAAGTATTTTTCTCAACCCCTGCATTTCTTTCTCCTTTACTATAATCCAATACCTGGTATGTGAGGACG